TCTTCTGCTGTGTCTAATGTTTAACTTTTATGTGACTAAAGGGTTTCTAAAATAAGTAACTAGGGAACTGAGGATGTAACTCAGTGGGACCTTGTCTTGCCTGGGTGAGGCCTTGAGTTTGAATCCCCATACCAAAAAAAGAAAAGACAAAAAATAAAAATAAAATAGGTAACTGGGGGATTAAAAAAAAGAACCAACTTCAAGTAGTTAAGAAATATGTCAGCTATGATGAAAGAAAGGACCAAGAGCAAAAGCAAATCAGAAAATTTGCACATAGTACAGTCTATTACATTCTGAGTTGAAGCTCACAGGAAGGAAAATGAGCAGCAGAGATCTTTTTAATAATTCAGACCCAGTAGCAAAAGGTCACAGAGAAAAGAATGGACCACACAGAGGCACAATTAATGACATGTTTGGTGTGCAGACATGATGAAAACTAGCTAATAAACAGTGTTCCTAGCCAAAATTCTCAAGTATCTATCAAGTGAAAGAGGAGAGGATGGATAATTGTTCTAAGTAACACTGACAGAGACCAAAAAACGAAAGTTTTTTTTTTCAAGTTTGTGAGTTTTTTGTTTTGTTGTTTACTTATTTTTTTTTTACAAGCTTGCATTGAAAGACCTATAAACAGAAAAGCAGAGTGCTAGCTTGAGTGTGAGGCAAGGGGAAAGTAGAGGAAATGTATGAGTCAAAGTCCCTCTCTGACCTTGAAGGACCCTGTAATTTCAGCAGCAGGCAGTTAATCTCACTAATAATACAAGGAAATGGGGAAGGGAGGGAAAGAACACCACATGAAGGGAATAAGCCAAGTTGGAAACAGTTAGTCACCATTCCCAAAAGGAAACATCACCATAAAGGGTTATGCTGATTCTGTTCAATCTCTGTGTCCCTCTATAGCCCTAGACCACCTTGACTTTATATGGCATATGATCAGAAATTTATTTTCCTCAATTCAGTGGCTTACAATATTTTTTGTTTCCACTTGTGATGTTTGAGTTGTTGTTATTCTCATTATCTTAGTGGCTGTAATTGTGAAAAACTCATTTTAACTGGGCCTAATATGATCATCAGTCTGTCAGATACTAGAGATAAGCTATGTCTCTCTCTGTCCAATCCCTCCCAGAGCAGTGGATTCAGAGAAAGGTTAGGAACCTGATCTGGATTGGGAGGTAGGAGAATACACACACACACACACACACAGTCCCTGTGAATTCTAGTGGAGGGACGGAACCAGAAGTTAGCTTGGAGTCCACTCAACAATACCTTCCCACTATCATCATTAAATCCCTGACTGAACACTTGCAGAACTCACTGCTGGCTCCAAGAAGATTGAACTCCTGGAAAGCTGCTTCATGGAGGCTTCCAAAGAATAGGATGCAGGCATTAAGATATTCTCTTCAGTGGAATGGGAAGATCCAATCCCTTTCCTAGCAGAGGTTATAGAGAAAAAAAAACCTCTAAAAGCTGAGCTCTTTCTTCTTTATCTGCCTCCCAAAAGACTGCTTGGGACCACTTTTCTCACTCCTACCAGATTGACAAAAGCCACCAACAACAGGAGCTCAACTTGGACTCTCATGAATTACTACAAGTCCTGGATCATCTGGAAATACTCAGATGCATTCTGAGTACCTTCTTTGGGGGCTCACTGGAAATTCAAAGCCAATAGGCAGCAAGGATTGGGAGGTAAGAGCAGTCTCCCCGGGGTCAAGAATAAGGTTATTTGTATATAAACAACTATTTAGAGTAGTTATAAAACTAACTAAAAGTCAATATATTTTTTACCACCTTGTGCAATAATTCTAGTAATTGTTAGTGATACATTACCCTCTGGGGAAAAAAATCTTTGCTGGTCTAAGATCTGAATAATTGCTATGGTTACTGTTGAGTCTTATATACGTAGACTTCAAACTATCACTTTTAAAAATTTATTGACTAAGACATTTTATTCTACATAGATATTAATTTGGATAGCTACCAGTTACATGAACTCTACCACACATATTACTTTTTTTTTATTTCCTTTATTCATATGTGCATACGATTGGGTCATTACTCCCCTCTTCCCCCCGCCCCCTCCCTTTCTCCTCACTCCTTCCCTCTCACTCCCACCCCCCTCGCTTCCAAGCAGATACTCTTTTGCCCTTATCTCTAATTTTGTTGAAGAGAGAGTATAAACATTAATAAGGAGGACCAGGGGTTTTTGCTAGTTGAGGTAAGGATAGCTATATAGGGAGATTCCTAGTTTTGCCTCCATGTACATTACATATTACTTTAGATAGTTATTCATAAGTTTATCATCTTCCACCTCACCTCAGGTGCGTTTTCTGACTCCAACTCCTACAGTATAATATAACCTTGTTTTTAAAATAGTAAACCTAGGGCTGGGGGCGTGGCTCAAGTGGTAAAGCGCTTGTCTAGCAAGCGCAAGTTTCTGAGTTCAAACTCCCAGTACTACTAAAAAAAAAAAAAAAGAGAGAGAGAAAGAAAGAAACCTAAAATAATCATAATTCGATGTGATTTTCTTTTCTGAATTTTTTTTGGTGGTATTGGAGTTTGAACTCAGGGCAAGTTCTCTACCACTTAAGCCACTCTGTCAGATCTTTTTCTGAGTTTTTTTCAGCTAATATGAAGTTTTGGGTGAAATTAATCAGACACAAAAATATCTGCAAATACCCAGAATAAGCCTGGAACAACATACAATAAAACATCAAGGTTTAAAATTGTCCCTGGAATATCAGCCTACAGAAACCGTGAAGAAAGATAGTAGCTGTTAACAAAATGTAAGAAAAATGACATAGAAAAAAGAATCAAATTTTGAAGACTGCCAAAAGAGACAAGAGATGATGGTCTAGCACTGCCAGAAAAAGTCAAGAGAATAATGTTTGATGCTTCAATTGTTTTTATCAAGAAGACATACCTTGTAAAGCAATGGATCAAATAATGTCACTGTCAATGTTTATTTTCTGTGACTTTTGCAGAAGGAAATGAATATTCACAAGTTTTACCACCAAATTTACAATGAGTCTTGTAATGAAAATACCTTTGTAAAAATTTTCAGTTGTAAGAAACTGAAAGCTGTTGTAGTAGATTTTATTCAAAAGAATGGGCAGTTACATGCATACTTAAAAAGTATTTTCTTATACAAAAAAAGTTATATACATTTTGTTTGCTATCTTAATTTTGGTGGTATTCTTTAATGTTAACACATTTTGTATAATTTCATCATATAGCTGCTGTATTGAACCATGTAGTATCAAATATTAGATGTAATTTAATAGTGTCTTTACTTACTTTTTTCCAAAATATACTGCCAGATGCTGGTGCTCAGTGTCATTTCTTCACCTATTCAGTTACAGAAAGTGTTGGTTATAGAATATATTGTACCTTTTAACACCTGATACGTACATCCGGTGTAATAAAAAGGGCAACAATAAAATAACAATTCTGAAGAAAGACTATGGCAGAAGGAAAAAAAAATTGAAAGCTGTAAGAACTAGTCCCAAAGAACCAAGACATGAACATTTTTGTAAACTGTAGAATTCATTGAGAAGTGATGATTTGTATAAATCTCTATCAACTTATCTCTATATATCTATATCTATATCTATATCTATATCTATATAATCTCCACATATATACAAAGGGCTTCCATAACAAAAGTATCACAAACTGTGAGACTTAAAACAACAGAAACGTATTGCCTCACAGTTCTGGAGGTTAGAAGTAAAAAAAAAATCAATGTGTCAGCAGGGTCAGGTCTCTAAAGGGTGCAGGGAAGAATCTGTTTTATGTCTCTCACAGCTGCGAGTGTTTACCAGCAATCCTTGGTGTTCCTTCATTGATTTTCAACTGCACAATTGCAATTTCTGCTTTCCTGATCACAAGGCATTTTCCTTGTGTGCTGTCTTACCTAGCTAGCCATCGTCACGCTGGGTATCGCTCTCTCTTCACACGTCATCTTTGAAGGCCACTAATCATGGATTAGATGCCCACCCTTCACCGGTATGACCTCATCTTAACTAATTTCACTAGCAATGACCCTATTTCCAACCAAGGTTACACAGGGTAAGGGGGCGGGGGGCTGCAGGTTAGCATTTAACATATCTTTGGGAGTGGAGGACACAATTCAACCCATAACAAGGAGCAAATTTGACAATCATTGTAAATGTATTGTTCATTACATTAACACAATAAATGTATAGGTATATTTTTACCCTGTTTAAAAAAAAAATTAACACTATAGGGCTGGGAGCATGGTTCAAGTTGTAGAGAACACCTGCCTAGCAAACTCAAGGCCCTGAATTGAAATCCCGGTACCGCCAAAAATAAAAAATAAAAATTCTTAGATATGTATTTACATAATCTAAAAGTATTGATCCATTACTTTTCCTCTTAGTGCTAAAACTTTATTATTTCCGTCAATAAAAGAAAATGTTCATTGCGTTTATTTTCTGGGCATTAATAGTCATTTCACCATCACTACTAAAATTTGTGGGGGGGGGGCGTTTGTTTGTTTTGTTTTTTGGTGGGACTAGGGTTTGAACCCAAGCTTCGAGCTTGCAAAGCTAAAAAAAAAAAAAGAAAAGTTTTAAAAGGACGTTCTCAGGACGTCAGACACTCTCCCAACCACTGCTCGGCGGAACCGCCGCCCACAGGAGGAGCCTGACCGGAGGAGTCCAGGGCCTCCGGTCAGGCTCAGCTCAGGTACTCACTTCCCGGCAAGCTCCACGGCAGAGCGATCTGTCGCCCTAAAAGCCACAGCCGGCTGAAGCGGCACGAGAAAAGCCTGATGGCCGACTGATACCACACTAGAGGGCGCCAAGTTTTCTCTGGCAGACCACAGGACGTTCGTGGTGCACGAGGCCCGCCCAACAGCTCGCCTCAGGAAACGTCAACACCCACTCTCCGCCCTCCCTGCCGTTGCCAGCGAGGCAGGCTCCTGTACGCATGCGCAAACACGTCTACCACGCACGGAGCTACAGCGCATGCGTCCCCTGAAATTGCCTTGGCCTGCGTTTCCCTCCGGAGATTCCACTTCCGGCCACCAAGGGGCGGGGAGACATTGGGAACATGCGGCTCTCTGTCGCTGCAGCCATCTCCCACGGCAGAGTATTCCGTCGCCTGGGCCTGGGTCCCGAGTCCCGCATCCACCTGTTGCGGAACTTGCTCACGGGACTGGTCGACACGAACGCATTGAGGCATCATGGGCACGAGTGGAGGAAATGAGAGGCTACGCCGAGAAGGTGAAGAGCGGAGCTCTGTGTACACTGAGTGGCCTGGCCCAAGGGGGCGGGTCTGGCTGTATTTGGGAAGGGATAGGACCACACTGGTAAATAAACTTTTCCCAAAGTCTGAAACCCCTAGCAGTCTGAGCTGATTCCTCCTGAATCACTTTGCTAGTGGAATGAATAAGATGGGTGCGTCTTGTTCTTGCTTATATTGGGTCTATGATGTTTGTCCTTACAGCTCATTGACTATGGAAAGCTGGGAGACACCAATGAACGAGCCATGCGCATGGCTGACTTCTGGCTCACCGTGAGTGTCCCTTGTCTGCTTCCTATATAGCGTCTTCTGTACTCTGTAAGGGAACTAGAGAAAGGAATAGGGCACATTTAAGCTGGAGCCCTCACTTATGGATCAATGTGAAGTAAATTAGAGCTGTGTTGAAGTTATTTGAACTCGATGTGAATGTGCATCTACACAACTGTAAGTGTAATCTTTCGTAACTTTAACTCTACCAGATTGGGAGGTGAGGGAGGTCTGTCTAACGTTAGTTTAGACCCTACTTCTGGGAGTGATTCAAAGTTGAATGTCTCTGCAGTTATGCCTGACTCTACTTTCTCCTGGATAACTTTCCCCATCTAGGAGAAGGACTTGATCCCAAAGCTCTTTCAAGTACTGGCTCCTCGCTACCAAGGTCAAAATGGGGGCTACACGAGAATGCTGCAGATCCCAAATCGAAATGCACAGGATCGGGCCAAGATGGCAGTGATTGAATATAAAGGGAACTGCCTCCCACCCCTGCCTGTGCCTCGCAGAGATAGCAACCTTACACTCCTAAACCAGCTGCTGCTGGGGCTACAACAGGACCTCCACCAGAACCAAGAAGCAAGCCTCCACAGCTCCCACACAGAGCAGACACCAAGGATTTAACTGGAGCTGAAGGGTTTATGGCTTTCTTCAATGCCCAGGATCACAGCCTTTGGAGTTCTTTTAATGTCAGAAGTGGAATTAGGGTTGTAAAATGAACAGGTTTAATGGGGCCCAAAACCTTCTGGAAAACCAGATGGCCATTTCTTTGCACAATAGATTAAAATTGCTTACATAAATTTGTGTAAGTTGATTTTCTTTTTTTCCTCTAGAATTTCTGGAAAATGAAAACTACCCAATGCTCAGTCTCCCTGGGATAGTAAATTCATGGTTTATATTTCTGGTTCTTAGATCTGGGTTGTATTTGGTTAGTACAATGCTGTTTTTCTTAATACTAATTTTTTTTTTTTTTTGAGATAAGGTTTTGCTGTGTTACCCAGGCTGGCCTTAAATTTATGATCCTTCTGTATCAGCCTCCCAAGTAGTCAAGATTATCAAGATTATAGGCGAGCATCATTGCACCCAGCTTGTGTGTTATTAATACTAACTTAGATGGGGACATGTATCCTATAATTCCAAACTGGCTTCCTAAGGCAATTGTGTAGGGGTTTTGTTTTCTCTTACACTTTAAAAAAAATTATTTTACTTTTTAATTAATATACATTAATAGAGTTGGGGTGATTGTGTTTGGCATCCCTGAGTCCCTGAGAGTTCTTAGAGAAAGATTACTTCCTGATGAGTAGAAGAGTAAACATACAAGTGAAAGCTAGTACTTTAGGAGCTTTCAGAGGAAGCAGCAATCATTCCTGTGTTCGTAGGCAGGATCATCCATTACCTTCATGTACTTCCCTCAAAATGGATTTTGATTGAGGATCTAAGAATTTGGTTGTACCACCATCCTGAGTGAAGGGGTGGAAGTATCTGACAGGATGTTGGACTTCAGGATAAGCTCCTTCCTCTTGGGTGGTGGGTAGGAGAGGGTTGAAGCGGGAGGAGGATTAGAAAGCTAAACCTGCTGGGAATTTCTTGGAAGTTTTTATTGTTGTCAAAACTGGACCTCTGTGAGAATTCGGAAAAGGGAAATCCGGTTTGAGAATAGCCAGAGCATGTGAGAAGCGGAAGCTCATTTGTATCCACAAATTACTGTGGATGTAAACCTAGCCAAGCTGTTGTTTCCTTAGGCTCAAAGTCTTAACCAGAGCAGTAGTCAAGAGAAGAATTGAAAAGAAGCTAGAACACTTGGTCTGAACACTTGGTCACAAGGCCTGAAAGTTACCATATCCCCAGTAGAGTGGGAAAGTAGATTTTACCTTGGGCTGCACCTTCAGAGTATATTTTGGCCCAGTGTACCCACCTGTTGCCTGAGAGTAAAGGAGAGCACCATTTTGGTGCTGTTTTTCCACAACTGCCCTAGCCTGAGACTCATTTCCCAACAGGGCTCTTTATCTTTTCCTCCAATTTGTCCTTTATAGTAGTCCTGGAAAGATGGCTTACTCTCTGCATTTTAAATGCCATATAGTAGACACTCAACACATTTTTCAAATAAAACTAGAACTAAATGTTTCTCCCCACAAAAATCCACCCCACTTGCTGTCTCACCCCAGCTAGATAAACCAGAAGTCATTCCGGACACCTAGAGAAAACTCTTAACTTAAGATTAAAAGCACATCTGTCTTAGGAACAGGTGGATTGTGGCTAGACTCCCACAGTTTTTCCTCTTAGTCCCCAGAAATACGTCTTCCTTTAGGACTGAACGCTCCGTGAGTAGTAATTAAACATCTGCTAGTCCCCAGCATTTTTGGCAGTATAGATACCATGTTTATCAAATGTTTGCCATAAGACCCTGGGCTAGATACTTGGAATATAGAGAAGAAATCTCTGCCACAAAGGAGTTCACAATCTAATGGGCCACTGCCACCAAGGCCTCAAGGGATATTGCATCCATGTTTTGGCCCAAATAAGAGTATATGAATCCTAAAACACTTGCTAAAAGTTTAAGGATAAGTGAAATAACTATCAGGAATTTTACTAATCTGTCCTATGAATGACCATCTCAATGCTGGAATCTACCCTCAAGTCTGTCTACATGGCTTAAAATTCCAAGTGGCCTTATCACTTTCCAAAGATTCTCCATCTTGCTCTCCAGTTCTTTACAATAAGGTTGACAAAAGTAAATGCCCCTCAACCCCAAAAAATAACAAATTTACTCTAACCTTAACAGATAATTAACTCCAATATATATAATTGGAAAAGCCAAGAACTGTTTACGTTCATTGTCAGTGGAATTAAGTCATGTTGATTTTATTTCCATGTTTCTCAGATCTGCATTCCCTTTCTCCCTAAAGTGAAATCCAAGACATTTCTATCCTGGATTACTACAACATCCCCTAACTTGCCTCCCTTCACTCTGCAGCTGTAGTGATAGAAATCTTATCATCTTAATTCCTATGTGATAGTCTCCAGTGTCTCATAGGCTCCTATAGAACAGAATCTTGATTACTTATGATATCCCCCCATGACCAGGCATCTATTTGCTGTTCCAGCTATTTCCCTTATCTCTTAATTTTATGCTGTAGAAGCATGGAGAAGTTGGTTGTTTCCCTGTGCATATGTACCCTAACTACCTTCTGTTCATGCATTCTCTACTCTTCATAGACCCTTCCCACTTTTATCTACCTAACCTCTGCACAAACTTTTGGGTGGCTCTTCTGACCATCCCCACACCTAAGTTCATTCTTTGTCAAACTAAATGCCTCTGCAATGTTTCTGTAACACCAAAGTTACCATACTGCATTACAGTCCCCTATAGTTGATTTATTCCCAATCATCACCCCACATTAGTTTTAGGCAATCATATCATATTGTCTTCCACCTATGTAAATTGGCATGTTTTTCTGAGTGCCACTGGGGAACTGATACTAGGCTGAAGATGAAACAGAATGCAAATTTAAAACTAAAAGAAGGTACAGTTCACAGAACTCCCAAACTAGAATCCTAGTTAATGTTGAAATAATCTTTAGTTATTATTGCCATTTGAGCATGGGGTTTCTATTAATTGCTACCAAAAGAAATCTGATACATCAACTTCTGAACCATTGAACCTTTAGAGTTTCTCAAAAAAAATTTACTATGACTCACAGACCAAAAACATTTCACATCAGAACACAATGTTCACATATGTATATAATTGAGATAATTACATATGCTTCACAAAACATTTTCCTCTGCAAATATGCACACTAATATTTTCTGCTATTTCTAGTTCACCTTTTAAAAACACTGTTACCAATTCACTAAATCGATTTTACAGCTACTAATGGATTACTCTTCTCAATCGGCATTTCAGTGCCTAACTATTGCCTCCACTGGATAAAATTCAAACATTTAATGGCAAAAAGGCCCTCTACAACCTGGTCTCAACCACTTCTCAACCTCTTCTACTATTATCTGCTGCCACACTTCATGAGAAACTTAATTCGCTGAATATGTCATAACTATCAAAGTTGTTCCCTCAAGTTAGCTCCTATTTGTAAAACAAATTATGCAGAGAGTCACTTTTTTGAAGTCTCAGAACTCCACATCATCCTCCAAATGGGGGTAGGTCCCCTTCTGTATGCTGCAGTAGCCCTGTGGACATACCATACTACACTTGCCCATCTACATAACTGATTCTTTCATTCAACCAAGCTTCTAAAGCCAGTGACTCTTTTTTGGTGGTGCTAGGGATTGAACCCTTGCATTTACTAGACAAGCACTCTACCTCTTGAACTACATCCCTAGCCCTTTGTTTTGGTTTGATTTTCTTTTTTGGAGGTGGGGGGGCGCGGGAATTGGTTTTTATTGGTTTTGGCAGTACTGGGTTTTGAATTCAGAACCTTTTACTTGCTAGGCAGGTGCTCTACCACTTGAGCCACTCCACCAGCCCTGTTTTAGTGTTGGGTATTTTTGAGATCAGGTCTTACAAACTATTTCCATGGGCTGACTTTGAACCAAGATCCTCAGGATCTCTTCCTCCTGATTAGCTAGGATTACAGCCATGAGCCACCCGTGCCCGGATGTTTGCTTGTTTTTACATAGTCTTGCTAATTTTGCCTCAGCTAGCCTCAAACTTGTGATCCTCCTGTATCCACCTCCCAATCTTCTTCATAACTCTACTGGAAAGCCTATACATGATAAGTGCTACATAAGGAGTAAGCTACATCCATGACATATTTAACTCTGGCTAATCTTTACAAAACAATAAACATGGTACTATGTGCAAGGACGGGGCTACACTACACTGCTGAGAATCCAAGACAAAAGAAATGGTTTCCTTTCTCTCCAGGGACTTAAATGCTGATAATGATTGTCAAGAATATAAGCATATGTCTAATTAATTTCCCACACACTTTGTATTCCAATTTCCTGGAATATTGCTAACCAAGCCACCCACAGACAGAAAATAAGACAGAAAATAAGAAGTATTCACTGAGTTCCTCAGCATTATTACAGTAGTCCAAACTCTTTTTACTTTTTTTTACTACATTCACCATGCTGTACATTAGATCTCCAGAACTTGTTCATCTTCTAACTGAAATGTTTAGATGCAAAGCTGGGGGTGTAGCTCAGTTATAGAATGGGTATTCATTTTCTTTGGAAAAATGTCTACACAGGTTCTTTGCCCATTTTTGGCCAGGTTATTTGGATTTATTTGTTTTTTGAGTTGTATGTATTCCTTATATATTTTGGATATTGACTCCTTACCAGATTTATGGTTTACAAATACTCTGTCCTTTCTGCAGGTTGCCTTTTCATTTTGTAATTGCTCCTTTGATGTTTAAGTCTTTTGATATAGTCCAACTGGCTTATTTTTCATTTTTTGCCTATAATTTTAGTGTTATTTCTAAAATATTATTGTCAAGCTCAATGTCAAGGAGCTTTTTCCCTATGTTTTCTTCTAGCAGTCTTATTACAGTTTCACATACTACATTTAAGTCTTTAATCTTTCAAGTTAATTTTGAATATGGGATAAGACAAGGGTCCAGTTTCATTCTTTACCATGAGGATATCCAGTGTTCCCCTTACCATTTATTAAAGAGGCTTTCATTTCCCTATTGTGTTCTTGGTACACTTGTGAAAAACTAGTTGACCATATATGCATGGGTTTATTTCTGGGTTCTCCATTCTTTCCCATTGGTGTGTGTGTCTGTTTTTATGTCAACATCATAGTGTATTGATTACCATG